TTTTCTTCTTTGACCTTTTCCCACGTTATCTTTTTCTTTCCTTTCCTTTCGATACATTCTCTTATTATGTGACACATTTCTCTCTTTCTCTCTTTCTCTCTTTCTCTCATCTGGATGACATGAAGTGATTCAACCGTGAAAACAAAACTACTCAAAATGATAGAAACATCATAATCATCATGAAATAGAAGTTCATCCGTTTTGTATAAAATAACGACTTGCACTTGACTTTTTACAAAACTATGGTAAAAACTACTTGGATTTGTCGGATGATTAAATATAGTAAAATAATCAGCGTGTATTATATCAAAAATTTTATTGAAATAAATATCAACACAAAATAAGAAACGAGCACAAGATAACTATATAATTTGAACGAGTGGTTTATCAAAGATAGTAAAAAATGTACAAATATAGAACCAAAAGTTCAAAAGATAGATTGATTTCTGTGGTATGATACCATTGAGTAACTTGAAGTTCTTTATTTTGCCCATACATCTTTCAACATGAATGCGATGGCGAGCAATGATACAAGTTTCAATGACTTTTTCGAAAGATAACTGTGACCGACGTTCCAGAAATGGTGGATGAATAAGAAGAAATTTAGAATGCTTTTGATCCAATGCAAAACCACGATCCGACATTATTTGATCTCCATCTTCGAGTAGCTGAAGAAGACTATCAGGACCTTCCATGTTGAGGAGAGCCCGATCGGAAGTTGCACCTCCAAAAAGAGGTGAAATGAACGATACTATGCCGTTTGGCGTAATACCAACAAGTCCTATAAAGAGAAAAACGACCGATCTATGTAAAGTAGTAAAACAAAAATATTATTTGACCATAAAAATAAAAGATAAAGGAACAAATCTACTTATAGGCTGAATTTTTCCCAGTAACATTTGTCATGTCGCTTACAGAAACAATAGGTCTTGAACGAATTTGTTAAATAACAAGAGATTTGATAAAAGCCACCAATTTGTACTCACCTTTGGCAGTATTGGTGTTCTTATATGTGGACCAGGTATCTTGTTGAGCTTGAGGATTTGTTGGTTGTTCAATTTTAAATTCCGTGCAATCAACAATAACTCGAACAGCTGGATAATTCTTCTTGATCTCAAATGGAAGAGTGTTTTGTATTTGTTCTTTGGATTGCCAAAGGGAGATGGAGCTGACAACGGAGTATATGAAGCGTGTCCATGCAATAACAATGCGACTAACGGTGGTTTGTGAGATGTTGAAGAATATACCCTTTAAAAAAAAGTAACAATAAAGCATTAAAACCGACTTCACTTACTAGTTCATGTTCTTCAGTCGCTCGACGTAATCGAACCATGAAAAGAAAAAACTGATTTTCTTTGGATAAGTTGTATATAGTTGATGATTTAGAATATTGCACAATGGATTCAGTTCTTAATGGATATCCAACAAAATATTCGTCGTAGTGACTCTTTAAAAAATCAAATAAGGTAGTGTCTTACAAGATGAACAAATAGCTGGAAAACAATCAATGAAGTACCTCAAGAAGTTCAAATACCATCTTGAAGACGGCGTAAGATCGAAACCCGGTGTAGTATTTGATGTTCGTATCATCGTTTCTAAAGCGTTCAATACAAATAGTTGTATTTATTATATTATTCTGGAACAATGACAGTTTTTCGAACAGATCTGAAAGAGATGTCAGATCAATATCAGTTTGAGTAGTAATCGAACGAGAATCAGTATTGATATCGATGATTCCAATAGATTCAGTTGGAATAGCTTCTGACTTCAAACGGTTTCTAGTTCGATGAATGTCGTTGACATTCTTCTTTATTGAAGTATTGCCTAAAAATGAAGAAGCTGTGAAGTGAAGAGCGCATACTACGCGGTGTGAGCAGTCTTTTAAATCAAGTCGATTGAGTCGTTTCAGCCAAATATGGCGTTTTTCTTTGTTAACTGGAAGACGGTGAAATGTAAGAGTACTTGATTTTGATTGTACATTGGGACAAGCAATACAAGATTTAACCATTTTGTTTATCAATAGTGACAAGTGAAAGAACAGAACACTTGTCAAAAGTATTTATTGATTGATCTTTTATCCCTTTTGATTGAATAAGTATATGATCGTATTATTTTTGAATAGAAGATTAATAGTCGGTACCATAGGAAGAAACATATCGATTGCTTTTTAACACTAATTAATATACTACAAGTGTACGCTTTTATCCTTTAATGTCATTAAATTTTTAATAGAACGATATGTCACGGCAAAGAAAAAAAGAACATTTCTATTGTCAGTGCTTTCTTATTTTTTAAACATTTCTCATTTTGTATGATAATATGACGTTGCCATCGACTTCATCGTTTACCTCAATCATTGATTATAAAAGAGCCTTAAACCTTGACGTAGGTTCTATTATAGAATATTTCTCTTCTGTTCTGGCCAGTGATGGAAAACTAGACCGTGGAGCACTGCGCAATGGAAATTTGCTTTTTAAAGATCACTTTTTACAGAATATTGCCGTATCTCGCCGGTTTATTGAGCTTACGATTACAGCGAAATGTCGTGCTCAAATGAAAAAAGCGACTATTTATCAGGTAATGTTTTTTTGACTGATGTCATACATGAACTAGATCGATTATCTTCTATGAAGTTCATCTCCATATGATATATCATATGATTCGATTTATTGGGTATAAAATTCTTCCTTTTCATGTATTTAAAATATCTTATCAGAATGTTTTCAAGATAAGAAATAAAGAATGAACCTTATTTATGTTTCACTTGTTGATCACCAGTTTGTATAATAATGGTCACAAAACATGTGAGTTGCTAAAGATAGTATATTTTCTTTCATCTATTGTTAGTCATCTCCCTAGCATAGAGAATACCCACTTAGCACCTTCTCTTGTTCTTCTTCCCCTTGATTGATGTAACTCTTCCATGCCGTCGTCTTATTGTCTATTTTATTAAGAAAATATAAATCTTGAGAAATAAAAAAAATTATATTCGTATCTATTTCTCATCGTCATAATCATCAACAACGAAGTGATTAAGATTATTCTCTTGTAACAAAAATGCTTCTTTAATGAATTTTCGTTGACAAAATGACAAATCATTTTCTAAACAGTTTCACACCATTTTTACTGTTATCACTCCAATATCAATGAATGTGAAATAAGTGCATGCTTTGTACGCAAAACATTATTTGAGCAAATAGGTAACTGTTGTTGATATTCATAAAATCATTTTTTATGCTTGATTGTGGTAAGGATGAGAAACAGACACCAGTACAATATTTTTATTTTTCAATATTCATGTATTCTTAATAAAATGAACAATAAGACGACGACATGAAAGAGGAATCAATCAAGGCAAGAGAAAAAGAGAAGGTGCTAAGTGAGTATTCTCTATGCTAGGGAGACGATCAAAAATGGATGAAAGAAAATATAGTGTCTTTATTAACACCTATGTTTTGTGCTCATTTTTATACATATACATACTTATGGTGAGCAAGCGAAATGAGAATAAAGTTCATTCTTGTTCTGTTTTTCTGAGAGATTACTCAAGTATCATGTGATGTAGTTGTGTTCGTGATTTATACTTACCTTTCCAGTAGTTTGATCTTTTCCTTTGTGCGATTTTTTCTATTCATCAAAATCTATTTAACTAAGTTTATTATAGCTAAAACTAGTTATCAACAGCAATCGACCTGCCGATATTCTTCAAGGGGCTTGTGAATGTGTAGCAGGTAATGGACCTCGTGCTGCTTGCAAACATCTTGCTGCTCTTTGTTTTGCTTTATTAGAGTAGGACGAAAAAAAGCTTTACGATGCTTTCACACAAAGATTACAACAATGGCATCAACCTACCCGAAGATCTTCAAACCCTGTTACTCTGCTCGACATAAATTTTAGCTGTCTCCAGCATGACAAGACTCAACAACAAAAACCAAATTATTTACAATTTCTCAACAACTATACATATGTGCCTGGTGCTACAGATTGTCTTCATCAGCTACTTGTTAAATACAAGCAACATTCAAGTGTCGCTGCATCATTTCTTTTTGTTCAGGAAACGTCACCGTCATTTATTCCTCTTCCTGCACGTATTGTCGCTCAAGATTTATCTTTATCGCAAGATCTAACTGATCCTGCGGTGATTAAATATTATTATGAGAAAGTTCACCTGTCTTTACATCAAGTAACTGCTCTTGAACAAACAACTCGTGGGCAATCATCTTCAGAGCGATGGCATGAAGCGCGACGAATGCGAATTTCAGGTATTGATTTTTATTCAACTTGTGTTCTTCGTTGTTTTCTTCTTAAATATATAATAAGATCTCGCTTTTGATTCATAATGTCATAGCCTATTTTCTCACTATTGAATGAGGACAGATTTTGTAGTTTATTCAAGAGTGAAGCTGGAAAAGATATCACGTTTCAAAAGAATCTAAAAATTTATTGATCGCTGGAGATACAACTAAAATATTTTTAGGCACAAAGGTCCATTCAATATGCACTCGAAAGCACCATTTCCAGACGTTGGCAAAATCAATAATAAACAATCACGATCAAGACATATCTTATCTTCGTCCTGTACAACATGGCCTACTCAATGAAGAAGTTTGTCGTCGACGCTATGTGCTAGAGAAGGCCAAAAGTGAATTCTTTTCTCATAGTATTGGGTTTCTATTATTAATGTTTATAGATGGTATTCGCTCAACAGCATTTCCGTGTGGTCTGGTCGTGGACGCAACTGCACCTTATCTCTGTTGTAGTCCAGATGCTCTGATCATTGAAAATGATAATGATCTTATTTCATATGGAATCCTCGAATGTAAATGTGTCTATACGGAACCAGGTGCAACTTGGGACGATTTGATTTCCATTCGTGAAAACTTCTGCCTTGAACAACACGCCAACAATCATCGATTGCGTCGTAGACATCCTTACTTTTATCAAATGATTGCTCTCCTGAATATTCTTGATTTATCCTGGATCGATATATGCGTATTAAAAGGAGATGACATCTACATTGAACGGTTAACAAATGATCAAGAAGTATGGGCTACCATTAAAAAAAAATTAACAACGTTTTACTTTACTTTTTTATTACCTGAGATCATGAAAAATGTGTCATGACACTGTCGTGTNTGCTCGTTTCTTATTTTGTGTTGATATTTATTTCAATAAAATTTTTGATATAATACACGCTGATTATTTTACTATATTTAATCATCCGACAAATCCAAGTAGTTTTTACCATAGTTTTGTAAAAAGTCAAGTGCAAGTCGTTATTTTATACAAAACGGATGAACTTCTATTTCATGATGATTATGATGTTTCTATCATTTTGAGTAGTTTTGTTTTCACGGTTGAATCACTTCATGTCATCCAGATGAGAGAAAGAGAGAAAGAGAGAAAGAGAGAAATGTGTCACATAATAAGAGAATGTATCGAAAGGAAAGGAAAGAAAAAGATAACGTGGGAAAAGGTCAAAGAAGAAAATATATCGACTGCGGCATATCACACGAATTCATATACATTTTCATTGGCTGGAGGCTTATAAGCGAATTCGGAATAAGGCTCATTAATCAGTTAATTGGTTAATTAATTAATTATTAATTAATTTCTCTGTAGCGGGCTGTGATGATTTATGAGGCCTCTGTGACGGTATGTGATGGTTTTCGAATTCTCTATCACAGTCTGTGACGGTTTCTAGAGACTCCATACATCATAATACAGACCGTAATAGAGAAGCTCCACAGACCACCAGTGACAGTAATAGACGAATTTCAGAAAAGAAGTTTCATCGTGTTTTACACTTTTAATCCCAAAGGGATTGCGCTAACAGCTTTTTTTAAATGAGAGACATGAATATATAGATATTATTGGAATTCCATTTTAGTTCAATAATGAAACGGAGGGAAAAGACAAATAATCCATATCCCCTACCGTTCACACAGCTTTGCCGTCCCATTAACATATTATAAAAGAAAAAGAACAATAATTAAAATAATACCTATATATTTATGGTCATCATCTGAAGAAGACAACTTCGATTGTTGAAATGTCAAGCAAAAATATTATTCTTTAATTTTATCTTGTTTCATTTGAATAAAAATCATAGAAAGAGCATAGAAGAAGAAGTTTAAAATTTTAAATGTCAAGTAAAAAATTAATATGCCCTTCATAATTAACTGAAATTAATTTGCAAAAGAAACTCAAAAACAGTACAAAGTTTAAAGGATAGCTTCTAGAGAAAGATCGATTTATCAAATAAAAGTATGTAACAGAACCGTTCTTAGTGTGCAAATGATTCTGACTCTTTTATTATTCGATAGTTGAAAGATTTGAATTCAAAATAATATATATGTATATATTACTTAAGAATTAGCATCGAACTGCTTTCTAACCTACCTAGTATTGTGAATCGAATATTGACTCTACAAAGCTCTCACTTATGTTGATCTGATCCAAGTCTATGGCGATATATCCTTGTAAACCATTAGAAAACAAATTGTATTCAAAAACTTTCAAATTTATCTGTGATCCATCGCATAACTGAAAAATCGATATACTCTTGTCTTTCTTGAATTCTATTTAGTGTATTTTAACTTTTAAAAGTCGTTGGCTAGTAATTTAAGTATCATATGGTTTATAAAGCTTTCATTAGTTCTCGACATGCATCAGCTTGATCCATTGTGTGTATACATTTGGTAGTAGACTCCACGCTGTTGAATTAACTCTGCATGGCTTCCACTCTCCATAACACGTCCTTTTCCTATTACACAAATAACGTCGCATGAACGTATTGTCGACAAACGATGAGCAATAACCACCGATGTTCGGCTAGGATCTTCGTCTTGTGCCCTTTCAAGTGCTTCTTGCACCACCTAACAGAATTTAAAAGAATTTAAATTAGTTCTAAATACCCTGAAGATAAACCTGTTCATTGTACGAGTCCATGGCGCTTGTTGCCTCGTCTAGTATCAATACTTTAGGTCGACGAACAAGTATACGAGCGATAGCAATACGTTGCTTTTCACCCCCTGACATT